GTACTGCAGAAATGCAGAGGAAATGCAATAGGGTTTCCCATCTGCCCGAAGAATTATCCATATAAATCTCTGCCTGCCATTCTATCCAAGCTTAAGGGGATGTTTTCTACTGGTCTTGAGTCCCAGAACCGGCAGCCAACACCATCACTTTGAAGGCTTGGTGTGAAGGAAATAAGGATGGCTTATATACAAATATGCGGGGAAGAGATTTTTCTAGCAATTGGCTGGATTGTAAACTTCTAAGGAGTCGGTCCATAAAGCCACAGAAATGTTCATTCACGCTCCTATCCTTTCCTTCCAAGGAGGGAGCAATATTGCGAGTTTCCTCTCCCAGACTTCTAAACATCAATAGTTGGAAAAAGAAACCACGTTTCACATACTAATCAGGATTCCAGAATTCCATCTTGAAAATAAGTCTCTAAAGGATTTAGAATATGGTTAGTTGCTGGAGAAAGAGGGGTATCCTTTCTCTTCCCTATAGAAAAGAATATTTGTAGCTTGTTGAAATGAGAGGTCAAAGACAACCAAGGATCCCCCATTTATCTTCTCTTTCCTTTGAGAATATATAAACCTCATGTTTAGTTTTGGAGCTGCAGAATTACATCGTTGAGTTTTATTCTCTAGATTAAGAGTGCAAATGAAAAGTGCCTCACTTCTGAAGGTTATGTCCTACGGTGTAGTAGAATTTATTATTTTAATCCCACTGCATTTAAACGCCATTAACTCAAGAGACAATGGGTGGGAATTATAATTGAAAGTAGTGATCCATCGAACACACGCAGAACAAAAACCTGTGTTTCCTTTAAATTTGTTGCAACCGAAGTGTAATTGGAGGATTGCGCATCCAAATTTTGACCAGCTCTAAAATTTAGCGAGGCAAGAGAAGGTTTCTCATTTTCAAATTTACCAATGACGGATTTAAAAAGCATTAAAGTTACATGACCCTGAAATCATCATCCTTTGGAAAGGGGACACCGAGAAACAATAATAAAAGCAGTGCAAAAGGGCACTTCTAATTGCTGGATTAAAGACATAAAGGACAAAAGTCAATTTTCAGGGCAAGTAAAATCACATTTCTCTTAGATTCGAATGGCGCCTCCTTTGGTCCCCAAAATAAATGGCCTCCCCCCAATCTGAGGAGCTTCAGCGAGGGAGGGAGAGACCCAGCTTCCCGAAGGCTCAGCTCCCAGGAACACAAGGGCCCGCAGCTTTCTGAATGAAGTGCGGTGAGATGAGCCCCGTTGCACTGCAAATTGGCTGGACTTATGGCCGGAAGGGGAAGCAGCAGCGCCCGCCGAAATAATTTCCAAGGGAGATTTGGGGCATTCTGCTATCCCGTGTTTAGATGCAATCAGATCGAAGGGACTAATTTCGACGACGGTTAACTTTTATCTTTTGCGGTTCCTTCCTAGGAATTATCAACCTGTAACTAATGGAAGTTTTATTTCTCTTTGTGGATTTTGATATCTTTTGCGGTGCTTTTTGTCGGAGCCATAGAATCCGGGTTCACTTGTGGTTTAAAATTCCTCCATCTGGATTAAAGAGAAAGAAGAAGGCACAATTTCGGGAAGGCAAAAAATTCAGTCAAACAACGACCGAGAAACTAGAAATAACGTGACAGCTACTGCTATCTGGTCACCTCCCCCCCCGCCCCCTGCATCGGCCACTTTTCTGTTTCACCGACCCCAGCCCTTCCCACAGCTCCCAATACTTCCTACCACTTTCTAATTTGACGGCTGGAGGATAGGGGCAGAGCAGGCAGGCAGGCAGGCGGCGGTGCATTGCGCAGGCGCAAGATGGCTCCTCAGACTTTCTGTGGCGGACCAGGCGAAGCGAGTCGAGGGGGCGGCTGCTGGGAGTCCCGCCGACGAGGAAGCGCTGCCTTTTCTGCCAAAAGAAGGAAAGGCCGGCCGGGCGCCAGCGATCAGCGCCAGCTTGAAACGCCTCCGCAGCCCCAGGAGTTGCTTGTCCAATTCCCCCTGGTTTTTGCTCCTTCCTTCCCACCCATCAGAGAGGCTGAAGGTTGCAGGACTTGCCTCTCCGGCATGAACTGAATCCAGACCTAACACAGAGGGGCGGCTTTCCAGGATAGGAAAGTTTGGCGAGCGAATTGAGTTCCTATCCCAGCTAATTGAAGCACGATTGCTGCTTTTGCATAAGGATTCAGGAGGGAACAAATCAACCGCGCGGTGGTTGAGGAGGGAGATGGCTTGTTCAACGATCCCGCCAAGCCAATTCCCAGAACATGTTAAACGATGAGTTTCCACAGCTTAGCTAATTGTGCAAATTCGAATAAAGATCTATACTTTTACTGTGTGGGCTGAGTTCGGATAAACACGAAGGTCTGGGCTCGCCGTTTCCTGAGGATGCAGGCTAAGAGAATGTCGTAGGTCGCTGCAAAACTAAAAGCATGTTGCTCTCCCTGTTCAGGAGGGCGTTTATGCCCCCGATGGTTTCTGGCTCCAAAAAAGAGCGGAGAAGGAGGACCCCAGACTTCTGCAGCTCACGGGGCAGAGATTGTCTTCTCTGCAGGCCCCCAGGATGCTTGCTGTACGTTCATAGGAGAACAATTCCCATCCAATTCAGAGGTTGTCTTTTAACTGAAACATTCTTTAGCCAATTAACCCAGTTTCGGTTTGGCAGGGCACTCAGAACATAAAATAGACATATTTAACTTGAGTTTTATTATGTGTTTGTAAAGGATGTTCTATGCAGTCATTTTCTTTCTTTCCACTTCCATTGTTCTCCCTTGGTTTTTTTTAACGTTTTCCTTTACGTGTCCTCTTGCTTCATTGTTTCTAGTTCCTTGTCTTTCCTTTCCTTTCCTTTCCTTGTCTTGCCTTGCCTTACCTTTCCCGTCTTATCTATTCTTGTCTCCACTCCTTTTTTCCCTTCACAATTTTCTCTCTCACTCTCTCGCATTTTTTCAACCGAACATGACCGCATAAATCCTTGCTGAATAGCGCTGGGCAGCGGAATCAGAGAGAAGAGGTCTCCCTCGGTGTTTGAGAGTACCTGGGTGAATTATGTTTTAACTGAACCAAAATCCCCTTCCAACTGAAAAACCAGATTAAAAAAAAAAAATCAAGCGACAGAAAGGGGCGGAAAGAATTAAACCATGGAATAAAAGCAGACTTCAGGGGAAAATTATTTCGATTTACTAGGTAAAAGCCTTTGCCGGAAGAAAACGGCTCCAACCTTCAGCATGTTTGATTATAACATAACTTTCCCAGAGTAATGGACGGCTGAACAGATTAAGGTAGAGGCTGGGGAGAATCAGCCTCATGTGCCTCTCCAAACAGACCATTGTTTTCGTTTAGGGAGAAGAGAGTGAAGTCCACCAGGAATGGAGCGTTTATTTAAATAAGTATCCAGGTCTATGAGAAGGACTGCTGATTTAGGGTATTAAACCATAGGCAGTAGGAATGTCTTGGGGACCTATTCCCATCAGTCTGTTTCAAAACCTGGAGGACAAAGGGGAACCACATCGCCATCACCATCTCTTCCCCTCCTCCAATCTATTTGATCATAGAAATGCAAGAGGATTCCAACCCACGCAGATGGGATTTAATTAAAAAGTGATGGATTCCCTAGCCAAGGAGTCCTAGTCCTAAGAATTTCAAAATATGCTTCATTTACCACTGACATTTGAAATATATCAATTTCTTCTCTCCATGTCTCTGTCTGTCTCTCTGTATGTGTCCCTCTGTCCCCCCCCCCCTCTCTTGGCAGTTCCACTGTAAATATGTCATCTTTACAGCTTTCTTAAGATGTTTCCATTTTACAGACTGGGAACTAAGATGAAAGAATACTTGGGGAAATTGACAAGACTAACTTCCTGTTGACAAGATCCCTTGCTGATTTTTAGGCCCTTAACTTTCTACTAAAGATTTTTATTTTATCTCAAAGTTTGGCAGTGGTTTTGGCTATAAGGGAAACTCATTTTACATGTGTACAAAAGCACCTATTTTCTTCTTTGGAAGACTTTAAAGTGATCTGTCAGCCAGAGCATTGTGGTTTTTTAAATCAAGGTTTATGGCTTGACTTTTTGATCAAATCCTGCCAGTTGTAAGTTATTCCACAGCTCATGATTAATCTGTGATGTCTTGTAATTTACATTTGAATTAGTGTAAATTACATCGTGATTAGCAGCTTTAACTTGTTGCAAAGAGTACACATTCAAGCTGTAATATTAAATGCATGTGACAGAAACACATTTAGCTTAAATAGATGGGATTCACTTTCAGAAATATTTGTAATATGGATGCAGTTTGCAGTAGTTATATTTTACAGAGAAATTTTAAATATTACCACCACTGGGTTTTTTATGGCAAGGTTTGACTTTTAGCTGGATCTATTTTTTGTCCTAATATTTTGAGATTCAGCATTTGGTTGTGTGTGCTAATCTTAAAAGCAAGAAGACTGTAAAGACCAATAGTTTAGTCTCAATTATGTATTTATATAATCTTTATATTATTTTCCCTTTAAAATAACTGAGAATTTTCCAGCAGTAATACATAACTGAGGGGAAAAGACTTACTTGCAGTGACAAACCAAAATTCTTTTCATTAATAAGGGTACAGAAAGGAATATGGTCAAAACTACAAAGATACATATTTAAATGGATTGTTTCAGTAATTTACTATATAAGACTGTATGTAGATATCATTTGGGTTATATGGGAAAGACTTAAAAGCACTATTTTCCTTGTTCAATCCATTTCTGTATGTATGTATATGTGTACACACACACTTCAATCATCAAGGTTTATTTCTTTGCATGGAAGAGAATACAGTACATGCATCACCCTCTTCTCATGGGCTACTTTCATTTGGTCTTCTGTGAAAATAAATATGGTCTTTAATAAACTGAGTTTAATAAAGCAGAACCATCCTATGAAATTCTAAGTCATATGTACTGTATCTACATAGTTCTTGACTTCTTTTGGCAGATGAAGAGAGAGGAAACTGAATGTTTACATTACAAGAAATCAGCAGGTATATGTAAAAGTAATGGTTTAATGAGTGTAAGCAAGACAAAGCATAGAATTGTGCTTTTTTTCCCTTTTTCTTTTTGCAGATTGGAGACAACAAAATACTTAGCTACAATATCCCTGTACAAACATGAGACAATAGGCATATAGGATAAACACCGTCACAAATATGTAACTGATGAGTGAAGAATGGGCACATGAACGCACATACCACACATACATTTTAACCAAAGCAAAGCACAAACTGGAAGATATTGGAGATTCAAGAGACTTACAATTTCAAGCCTTCCTTTCCCACCCCCCTCAAAAAACCTGATACCTTCAGAAAACTATTTTGCAGAAAGGCTTCCAGGCAACTCATTTGTACCTGTTAATCCTTAACCAAGTTAGTACTGTACCATACACATACACATATATATTAAAACAAATTTAGTTAAAAAGCCTTCATCTGAATTAACTGATTTCTTTAGAAAGAATGAATGAAAAAGGTTCCTGCATATTTTATGGCTTTTTATATGCATTCCTGTGCTTTTTGTTTCTGGGGGGAAAAAATAACCACATATTCCAATACTTTCCCCTATAAAAGGAATAAAATCAAGAATAAAATCAAGTTGTTTCCATGTTCCTCCATTTTGTTCAATGCCTCACTTCCTTGGCATTGGAGACAATTAATTACATTGGATAAATGTAAAAATCCTGGGAAGCAGACAAGGCCCAAGAAGTCCTTTTGATATTGTCAATTGCTTCCAAGTTAGTGGGGAAGGAAACTTGCTCTCCTGCTTTCAAGGCAAAGAGCTGGTGGCTACTTTAGCAGGGCTCCCCCTACACCTGTCCCACAAAGCATCTGTCAGGGCTGAGCCAATGGGGACTTAGCCACCTTCATTGATACTGCAAGAAACACAATATTTTCTTTATAAATATATCATACAATACTGCTTCCTATTTTGTCATACACTAATATGGCGTTCTTCCACAAATTCATAATGCCATCAAAACCTTACAAAAAGAGCTTATCCTGTTTTCTTTCTTGATTTCTTTTTTCTTAAGCCAGCCAGTAAAATAAAAGGCAATACCCGCTTTTAGGTATACAGGTGTAAATCTGAACATAGAATGTCCTCCTTCTCTTCTATACCACTTTTTTCTTCTGTTGTTTTCTGATCTTTCAATGGCTTCGGTGCTGCACAGAAGTTGTGGATACAAACTATAAATCAAAATGGCTAATAAAGCAAATACATTGTTATTCACAGTGGTGTGGCTACATATGCGCATCTTTTTATGCATATTCAGTCTGGCATTTATGCATTTTGAGGTGGAGAAGGAAAAAAAAAAAACTTGCTTTCAATGAGATTTCCCCAAAACAGCAGAACCATAGTTCATAATCTAAAAGATATATAGGAAATTAATCTGGATTTACAAAACTTTCATTTGTGGTAGGTATCAATTATCAGATTCCAAATTAAGAAACAGAACAATAATGGGAAGTCCGGAAAAAACCCTCCTCAGATATTTGGATTGTTATCCTTTGTTTTTCCATGTTGCTAGTCCTTAAGAAACAGTTTGCTGTGGTGGTTGTTTAATATAAAAAAAGGTCCATCTCTTGTCCTCCCATTTAATTCCCGATCTTTATTCCTCTCTTATTAACCACCAGGCATAGACACACGTGGAATTTGCAACTATAAAGCTTAATGGTGTGATATGATAGAGACACAGAGACTGGAGCAGAAAATAAGCCATAACCTCTGCACCCAGTCTTCAGAGTCAGAAAGGAGAGTTTATGCCAGTCAGCCAGAAGAAGTCGTAGAACAACCATTGATGGATGCTTTCCGGGTTCTGTTGGTAAAGGAGGCATGGTGGTTACCACTTGGGCTGCTGCTGGTTCCATTCATAGTGCTAGAGATGTGGGGGAACTGGGGGTGGGGAGATTGCACTGGAGTGCTGGGGCTGAGCACGCAGGATGATGTGGAAGGAGCACCTCCCATGGGGCTGCCAGCTTTTTCACTGCCAGAGTCACTTTCCAGGTCCCCACTGTTGTGTAAGCCGTCTCGCTGCTGGCCCCCTATTTTCATTCTCTTGCAGGTTTGTCGCACACGGTACTTTAAAGGGAGGGGGCCGTTCTGCCGAAGGAAGTCAGAAAGGAAACCCTTGTTAGAGAGTTTATTTTTGTTTCCCGCCCCTCTGGCTCAAGGTGACCAAGACTTGGAAGGACTCTCAATATATTTACCCTTCTCCAAGTGTAAATGTAGGCTATATCCATTAGTGTGTAGTAGTCCTTCAAAGGCTCTTCTTCATACATGACATCAATCTAAGAAAAGAAATGAAAATACACTTCATTTAACATAGCATGGAGGTGTGAAAGACTATACAACTGCAACGTGGCATCTACTGTACTACCTTTATCAAACATCACACATTTTATCTGAAATTCAGAAATACATTGACTCAGTTGAGAAGATATCTGCCTTTATATCAAAGACTTAGAATAGAATGATTCAGAGAGGCCCTCTGAAATCCATTCCTGTAGGTCTTTTATCTGCTGCTGTTTAATTCCAAAAGCAATTCTTTCCAACAGAATTAAAGTTTAAATAATGCCTTTAGCTAAAACTGTTTTATGACAGGTCTTTCCCCTCACTGTCCCTTAGTCAAAAGTACCTGAAAAGCATTGGGTATGTCCATTTTGCTCCGGAGAAACTTCCTTAAATGCATTACAGTCATTGCTGCAGGACAGCGTAAATATCTTTTGCTGTTGGCCTGGGAGGGGCATTTGGTTGAGACAACATTCAAAATCTGATACTAATGTTCATTCCAATATAATAGATAGAAAGAGATGGAAACATGGTTAAAACTAGCAGCATGAAAACTAAATGTTTACTGGTGATCCAAAATCAATGAAGTAAAAAGCAGAATACATGCTCATCAGATTTTTCTTTTAGAGTTTAATTCATACAAATTTTATTCTTTAAAATGCATACACTAACTAAGGGAGGAAAATAAGAGGATGTTTTCTAATATAAAACTTATTTTTATCAGTCTTTTAAATGCCCTTGAATTGTAATTATTAAGAAGATATGCTCATACTCTGCAGAATAACTGACTCTAGTACTTAAGGAAATAAAAACTAATATGGTTTTATTTTCTGAAAAAGAAATAAAAGTGTCAAGGAACCAAGTATCTACTTACCTCCTCTTTGGCTTTCTCCTTCTCTTTGCTTCCTTTCCGTTCAGCTCTAGAAAAAGGACATATACTATAGTAGTAAAGAAAAAAAATCTATGAATGTACTAACAAAGATAAGATACTGCTTTTATAACTTACCTATTTTGGTCAAAGAACTCAATGGATAAGCTTATTATTTCATCATCTGTTATAATCCTTTTGTCTTCATCTGCAACTTCCCCTCTGTCTTCATTGGAGCCATTGGCAACTGCACAGAAATGTTCACAGTAAGTTACATTTTAAAATCCAAATCAGAAAGAGTAAAGAAAACATCAGTCATAAGATGTATGTGTTACTACTAAAATTATTTCTGTAAATAAATTTTAAAATTTTGAATGTATAAAAACATTTATTTGCTGTGCAAGAGCACTGAAATGGTACATAAATTTTACAAACTCAGCTTCTGCTTAAAAGGTAATTCTTTATAAAATCATAAACTCAGAATCTATTTTCTTTTACCATCAGCAGATGGATGAGCAGCATAAAAATCTCTTCTTCTTTTCATTTCATCTGAGAAAAAAACATATTTTTATTATTCATCTCTACACATTCTATTACTGAATTGGCTGTTCAATCTAATTGCTTACTTACTTTTAAAAAGACCTGGTACTAACTTATATACAATGTCCTGGAGAGTTTTATCAGATCTGGAATATAAAATCTAATGTTAATATTTACAATTTTCCAGAACCAAAAACAGCTTGGCTGATAATTTTTAAACTTTTAACCAGATTTGAATTGTTTTATATAAGTTTTTAGATCTATGCTATTAATCTACCTATATTTTTTGCTTTGGTAGAAAGATATCAGATTAGACGGTCACTATTATAAAAATGTAGGCATTTAATAAAAAGATGTAAACATAGAGAGCGCCAATGATATGCAACTAAATAAAGATTTCTGGAAATAATTTAACTTTTGCATTTCTTTATCAATACTTTGATAAAGATCAATGCGAAAAAATATAGGAAATTAATATGCACACTGACAATGAGAACAAAATGCAATTGTAAGTAGGAAAAGAAAGATAAAGGGAATAAAGATGGGCTTCTAATGTAGAAAAAGAAGAAAAATGACTAATTGAAATGCAAGACAGATACTTATGGAAATAGTACAGTTATGTTTCCTGAACTAATTTTTTTTTTTAGATTTACATCGGCAAGGAAGTTGCACCCAAAGAAATATAATATATGAAAAGACATAACTATGACATAAAGTATTTAGTTGTTGTTTTTCCTACCTTATGTTCAAAAGAGGCCTAGTTTTGTGAACTTGGACATCACAAATGGGACAATACTTGCTGGTCTCCAAGTAATGTACAATACAAGTCTTACAGACTGCAAGAGGGAAAAAATATATAGAATTGTGCAGAAATAAGGTTACAAAGCAGAATCAAGGCATGGTTTTCAGCTGTTATTTCTAACCCAGACCCTAAACAAAGTTAGCTGTTTCTCGGCAACAAAGGACCATATGGTCAATGAAGGAATTTGGTCTTGCGGAGCAAACCTTGCTTCACCAGGACCAAGGGACGGGAGGGCTGGCTGGCAGCAGGTCCCTTTCCCCGATGAGAAGCAACCAAGCGGGACTTACAGGAGTGCAGGCACTCGATGATCGTGGTAGCATCAATGAAATACCCTCCGCAAATCACACACATGAGATGGGGGTTGAGCTCCGTAATTTTGATGCGGGTGGTGCGATGCATTTTGGTTCAATCCGGGGAGACTCTAAAAGATGTACAAACAAAGAGGAGCGCTTTAAACACCGTGGGGGAACTTCGGAGGCGCGGCCCAACACGATTCCCTCACTTCCCCGCAGTTAAAAGTGGCCTCTCTCGGGGAAGACAAACAATCAGGTTCAGGCGAGAAAAAGGAGGTGCGAAGGCGCCGAGCGAAGAGCCTTAGCGCATGGAAGGGGCAGTGGAGGGGGGTCCTTCCAGAGCGCTCAGTCCAGCGACCACCTGCACATAGCCCTGCGCGGCGATATTCAGAAGGGGACTTGCCTGGGACGGGCGGAGGAAGCTCCTCGGGGTATGATCCACGGGCCTCCCTCCCCCTCCCCCGCGCTACCGGAAAACCGCAGATCGGGATTTGCAGAGGGTAGAACGGGACAAGCGGGAGGCGGGGAAGTGATCCTAGTGTAGGCGCGGACGTTGGTCTGGGCATTTCCGGCGAGAAGAAGGGGGGGGGGGGTTGGGGGGGCGGGGGTAAAGGGGGGGGGGGGGGAGGGGGGAAGGGCAATAACGGGGGGGAGGGGGGGGGGGGGGTGTTGGCGGCCGCGGTTGAAGCGGCGGCGGCGGTGAAGGAAGAAGCAAGCAAAGGAGGGGTGGCTGACTGGCTGCTGGCGGAATTGGGGCCCGCACCTCGGAACAAGGGCTGGCAGGCGGGTAGCAGCAGGCAGGATAAGATCAAGCTGGGACCCAGGAACTGGTTCGGCTGTTAGCGCGTCGCCGCCGCCAACCCAAGAGGCTCGGAACCGAGCCGCCTTCGGAACCATTCTAGCGAGGGGGTTGCTATAGCAACTTACACTTACACTTGGCATTCTGCCACCACCCGGAGCGCACCAGGGGAGAGGGGGCGGGGAGGGGCCAGGATGGGAAGAGGTGGCTTCGAGAGGAAATGGGGGTGGGGGTGGGTGGGCGCGCAGGGAACAGGAGGGCAGGTTTGGAGGCTCGGCGCGGAAAAAAGCCTAATCCCTTCAAGGGGCAACAACTGCTGCCCCTGGGGTAGGGATCAAGCAGAGGATGCGGGGGGGGAGAAGGACGGCCTGGGGGTGCCGCTGTGGAAAGGAACCGGGATCGTAGCCAGGGATGAAATCCGGGGGGAAGGATCCTGGTCGGGTATTGCTGGCGGGGCCAAAATTCCTCTCCAGTCCAGTTGGGCGGGTGGACGCGTCGCAGGGAGAGAAAGCGAGGACGCCAAAAGCGGGGCTGGCAGTAGGAGGCCTCGAGGGCGGCTCGAGTCAGCTCTGGGGTCCATGCCAGGCCGAAAGCAAGAGGCTCCTCCAGGGGCTTTCGGTTTCTCTCGGGGCCTCCATCCACGTCGGCCACGGGCAAGAAAGTGGTCACTGTTTCTTTCCCTTCTACTTTCTTCGCCTCCCGACTCCTGTCCGCAGCGCGATGCAACCTTATACTCTCTTGGATCGCCAAGGCACAGAGTTAAATGTTGGTCCCTTTCGGGTTCGTAGAGACTTTAGAGGAGCAGCAGCCTTTGCCATAGACCCGACCCGGATTCAAGAGAGTCCTAGCACACCCATCGGGCACCCGTGGACACCCCGCTCTGGCAGTCCAAGCTTGCCCGGCCGCAGATCCTAGGAATGCTGCTAATGTACCGCAGTTCTCGGGCTGCAGCCGGGAAGTGAAGAGAGCAAAGCAACTCTGAGGAAATCCTAACGCGGGTCATGTTGTTCCACCGCCCAGCAAGGAAAAATTTACGGTGGGAGGGAAGGAAGTGGGGAGGTTATGCTCAGCCGTAAGAACAGGTTCCATTCCCGCAGCCGCGGATCTACCTGTTTTACTCTGAACACACAGCAATCGGGACAAAATGTTGGACGCTTCCGAAAGAGCCCAATTTCTGTCCAATGTTCCAAAAGTTCGAGGGTAGGTAGGAGAGGGATGGAGAGTACAACTAGGATCGCTCTCCACAAAACCAATTACCAAAACTTAACTTGTTCTATGTACCCCTTCCCCAGATGGGGGGGAAAAAAAGGGAAGGAAGGAAAAAACAGAGAAGGAACGATGCCACTGCTGCGCGGAGGAAATTGCTATTTTTATCGTTTGAGGGGTGGGGCGGGGGAGGGAAGCAAAAGGTATACAAGTTTGGAGTAGAAGGGGAAGGAGAGGCTCAATAACCTTAGCCTGAGAACTGAATGTTGGCAAGGAAAACCGGAGTCTCCACGCCTGGCCTCTCCTTCTCATTCCAGAGCAGTTTTCAGGATATGAATAAAGGATATACTTCTCCACCCCAACCCCTTTAGCAGATAATTGAAGTCCTCATCACTACCACCATCGTGATAAAACACATCTATCTGTTCAAATTAAGATGCAGTAAATCCAGGGTACTTTAACCAAAAAGAAGATTAGAAAGGGTCGAGCAATTGAGCGGACTTAAATTCTTTCCCATGCAGTGAGGCACAGAAGGAGGCAACTCAATTCGTCAGAAGATACAAACACATGTTTCATTTCAGAGAAACAGAGCCTCTGCCCAAGTAGAAGAAAACTCAAATCAAGCGTGAAGCTTTGTTACTCAAAGCTTATTATTTATTACCTAAGTTAGCCCCCTCCTCCAGGATCTCGCTGGAGGTATCAACTGAATTCTTAAACCAACAATCCTGAATCAAAGCTATGGATCAGTGAAAGATCCCAGCAACTCCCATGCCCTCATTTATATACACTCACAAACAAAACAGGCATCTCGTTACCCAAAGTACTAACTTTGGGATGGAGTAGGGGCTGTTATTGTGTTCTCTCCCTGAAGTCTCCCACCTTCTTACAATAATGGTATACCTTTCTGTAGCCAAGACACAATAACCTTTAACACCAGATATTTTATTTTCGGCCCACCCCCCTTCCTAGGTATGTATTCCACCAGGAAAACAGGGAGAGATAAAACTTGTTATCATTGCCAGCTGAAGCTTGGAGGCCTTACATGGTCAACTTTGAAAATTATGGATAGTTAGGTGGATGGATGTTTTAGAAATTAATAGGCTCTAGATACTTGAGGTGTCAATTCACCAAGGCTACCTGAAATAACTTGATTTGCAGGAGCAGATCTGTAATCTGGTTCACTATGCCTTGAATTGTCACTAGGTGCCATTTTTAAAGGTGAATCCTGAAGCATGAATGACTCACTCAAAAGTGTGGATCCATGGAATCCCAGCCAAGAAAGAAATAGGTATGTTTAGTTTAACCCATATTCTCTCCAGCTAAACCCCTTCATCCTCATGGAGAGGAATAGACCTCTCCAACTAGTCTCCTCAAAGGCAGAAGCCAGTTCCTTTCTGGCTAGGCTGAATACAGTGGGTGAGGAGGCACAGCACCAACCAACTATAGTATTAAAAGATGAGTTCTCATTTACAGTGACCAGAGCAGAGAAATACACAGTCTTTCCCCTACACCTCAAAGTTATAGTTTTGGAATGCCAAGAAAGACCATTTGAAACAAACAAGTGTTGAATAGTGGGAGGCTAACAAAAACTCAAGAGGACGGTGACTGTGGATCACATGGTTAACTCTCCATTTGGAGAGAAAGGTTACTTGCAGGGAGACAAGATTGGATTAGGTGCCCCCGAGTTATTTCCCACCAGGCATTAAAACAACAAAACAAGCTGAGCTGTAGCTGGGTCTACTTTGTCAAGGCTGCGAGATTTTACACAAACCAAGTTTCCCACCCAGACACTCTTAGAGCCAGGACCAAAACCATCACATCTGGGCTAAGAAGATGTTTCGATTAACTTTCCCTTATTTAACTTGGAAGGATAAGAGATGTGAGGGAGAGGCGAAATCTTGGCTAAAGAATAGAAAGCTGCAGACGGAGTGCTTGCAAATTCTATCAACACAGCTCCCTCAATTATCCCGCATGTTCAATCTGGATATAAGAACTCCGAGAATTAAACACATAGTAACTTCTCTCATCGAAGCTAAATTTCCAGCGTCCACCTCCTCTCCTCTCTTCCAAAGCCCGGAAGAAACTCCAGCATTTTAAGCACAAATGCGAAAGGACACGCTAAGAGAGAACCGCCATCTTACCAAGCCATCTCACGCCACACAAGTATTGGCCGAACTTAAGTTAATAACATTTCTCCGGAGACCTCCAGCGGCTCGGCGAACCCTCCAGCAAGACCGCAACCCCCCGTGGAACTCATCCCTATAAAATGGGAGCGCTAGGTGGCTTTTGAACCCCCCGCCGACCCGTTTGTTTCGCAGGCAATCGCCATCCCGTGACCCAGGCAGCTCAAGATTGCACGAAGTGTCGCTCTTCAATCGAAATCTGCCTATAAACAAAGAGGGCTGGACTTGAATGGCCAGTCGCAACCGAAAATACAAACATCTTCCTTCGGGGCTGTGCATCCAGGAGGGCTCTACGACCTAGCTCCGGTGGAAAGGGAACGAAAATTTGCAAGCGTTGGTTGCGGAATGAAACCAAGCGCCTGGGTTGTTAGTGCCGCCGCTCCGGGCGGGCGCGCGCGCGTGGGGCGAACCGTGTGCGTGTGCGTGTGGCTGGAGTCGAGACTGTCAGCGCTTTTCCCATACGGAGAACACGGGGACACCGGAGCTCCCCCTCGCAGCCTTTCAAAAAAAAAAAAACCCCTCCCCAAAACCCGCCGCCAAGTCCCCATCACCCTCCGACCTCGGCTAGAAAACGCGCCCCTGCACACCTACCCGCGGGAAGAAGCTGCCGGGGGGCGACCAAAGCTGCCGGGAAAAGACAATGAAAGTTAAAAGTCGTTCAGCAGAAAATGAATGTGAGCCAAGCGGCCATCTTGAAACGAACTGCAGGCGCTGTCAGTTGCAATCAGCGTATATGCTGCCGCCGTCGCTGTTGCCGTCGCCGCCGCGCCGAGCTCCTTTTAGTTCCTGAAACAGCCCGGCGGTTCTCCTTCGGGCTCGCTCCGAGCCTGCTTGCCTTTCCCCTCCTCTTCCTTCCCGCGTCTCCTTTTCTCTCTCTCTTCTTTTTTCCCCCCACCTCGCTCGCTCGCTCGCTCACCCTCCCTCCCTACTCCTGGCTGGCTGCTCTCTCCTTCTTTAAAACGCGTAGCTCCAGTGCTGGGCTCTTAAATTATTTCCGGCCCGTCTGGACTGCCACTCTTCCTTCTCCACCACCACCAGCCCATTGTCTCTCTCCGGCTTCCAAGCCCTCCTCCCGGCTCCGTCTAAGGGTACCCCTCCGCCCCGGTCTGGTGTTTTCCCTCTCCTGCCTTCCAGAGAGCTTTTTTTCTCTCTCCACTTTCCTCTTTGTAAAAATAATAATTATGGAAATATTTGAATTATATCAGAGTTGTTGCAGTGGAAGGAGCAGGCGGGGGAGGCAGAGGTAGTGGTGGCGGTGGAGGGAACGCAGCAATGAAGGCGCACAGTGGAAACTGACACCGTAACCAAAATGGCTCAGAGTTCGCCCGCCCCGCCAGCGTCACGTGGGACTCCTCATTCCTTAAGGGTGGCCTGGGAATTAGTGTCGGTGCAGTCGGAGCCGTCAGCCTCCCTGTGACCCAATCCCGCGACTCGGACGCCTCCTCCCCCCCCCTCGTGCGCCGCCCTCCCCTCCCCCTCTCCCTGCCCTCCGCCTGCTCTTCCGCCTCTCCCCCCCCCTCCAGACACGCGCGCGCGCACATACTTCGCTAGTCCTCCTTTTTTTTCCGCGGCACTCACGCGGCTGCCTGTTCCACCTCCTCCCGCTCTTCCTCCCCCCCTCCCGCCTCGCGCACTCACTCACGCGCGCACAATGCCTTATTCCTTTCCTCCCCCCCCCCGTTTCCAGCTTGCACACCTACCCCGCTCTCTACAGACACACAGACACACACACACACACAGGGCGCTCATTCCTCTCTCCCGATTTTACACGCCCTGTCACCTCGCCCGAGCAATCCCTTTCTCGCTTAAACAAGGGCACGCAGAGATCTCCGTTTGCCCTCTTTCCTCTCTTGTTCTTGGACAAATCTGCCCTTTCATACAAAAACGTACCTCCACCCCCTTCTTTCAAAGGCGTAATAAAGTGAAGGCAACCACAGACAGACCTTTGGCTTCAGTCTCTCCACCCCGAGCCTCTGCTACTGAAGCTGCTCTGATCCTTTCTCCTACAGCCTGCCTCCCCTTCGCGGCGCGCGCGCGCGCGCACACACTCACACACACAGGCACGCACACACACACACACATATTCACACACACACACACACACACACACACAGGCACACTGGCTCGCGCGCCACATGCACATACATACACACACATTGAAAAAGGTTGCCCACCATTTTAACAGTATTGTGTGGCACTCCAGTTTGCACCTCGGCGCCTTTCCCCAGAGCCTCTCCTTTGCCCCCAGACCTACTATTTGCTCTCCCCCTCACCTAGACTGTCCCACAACACCGACTTCGGTCGAGATCTCTTCCTCCACCTCCCACGTCTTCCTGGGCAACTCAGTGTTAAGACACCTCAGAAATGTTAGAAAGGCGGTCCAAGTGGTATTACAGAAGTTGGGTTTAACCGGCAGCTGAAACCGTCAACCCCGAGCGTCATCTCGGCCCTTCCACCTTCACTCCTTTTCCGTTAGAGCGGATTTTCCCGCTTTGGCATCCGGCCGCGGATTCCCAGGTGCGCGCGACTTCTCCAGCCGCGGCGCAGATCCCCTTCTCTCCTGGCGCAGCTCAGCACTACGCCTCCCTTCCCCAAGTCCTTTACTTGGTCCAAGATCTCCGAGTCCTTTCTTTTCCTACTGAATCACACAACCTTTTCACGCGAGAGAGATTCGAGCTACTTTGACAGAACCAAACTCTCCCTTCTCCACACATCTATCTTCTTCTGGGAGCGGATTTTCTCCCCCTCCTCCGAAAAGTCCAAACCCAATCTCGTTTTCCCTCAGGTGCCTGTTTTCTTTCCCCTTCTCTCGCATACTACTTCATCCCTCCTCCGTTTTTTGCCCCTTCTCAAAGTGCCACGAACGAGTACTCCGGATTTTTCTCAGCCAATAAGGTCTAGCGTTTTATTTCACCGCCTCAAAAAAACCTCACTCTTTTTATCCCCCCCCTTTGCTTGTTGTGTTGAAATCCTTCGCACAGATAACGTACTCCCATATCTACTCCCTCCCACACACACACACCCTCGCAAACCCCATCCAGCCCCTGAAAGTGCCCTGGCACACATTTTCTCGGTAAATTTTTTCCTGCCTTTGAACACGCCTTCTCACTTCCCGCCTGCCTTCAGTGTATAGATTTAGTTCACCGCACAACTCTGGCACCTCGCGTCTTCTGCAGCTGATTCTAGAAGACTTAGGTAGGGCGGTCTTCCAAATTCCTCACACCTCTCTACACACTTTCGCAATTTCATCTCACACAATTGCCACACTTCACAAAGCCCAGCTCCGGGGTCCCTGGCTGTCTGACACGCATTCTTTGTCACAAACTTTTTGTGCTGTTACATTTCCTTTTCTCTTTTTAAACATAGTAGAATCTAAACAGAGGTACCAATTTTGAGAATAGTTAGGGGCAGCATAGTCTAGCTGGTCTATTGGTCCTTTTGTGTCCATAAGAACCAACTAGAAGCTTTCCGAACTCCTCAAGATCTTTCAGCTTCTTCTACCCAAGATTGAAGGACTACCTTGTTAACACTATTCACCACTTTTTGAGAAGCAAGCAGCCTTATGATACGGTAGGCATTCCCTTTCCTAGAAAGATAGTATTTCCTTCATTTTGGGCAACTCTTTGTCTCGACAATTCTAAGGTGCCACCATTCGAAATTGTTGGGGCTCCTGACTGTCATCATTTTCTTCCATCTTGGCAGATCTTCATGGGATGCATATTGTAGGTTCCTGGGTAGATGAAGATGGAATGTTATTATAGGAAGGAAACCGGCATCAGGAAATGACCAGATGACAAAGAACTGTATTGGAGAGCCCTAGGATTAATCCACTTTTCTGAAAGATTAGCTATCAAACTCACTCTGAAGTTAATAAACTGCCTTGTTCCTCCATGCCTGGCAAGCATCCTGATATCATTCTGTTGTCAACCATTTGATATTAAAAGTATCATCCAACCATCCAAAAGAGACTCTAATGAAAGACGGCTTTTTCACTATCCCCTGACAATTTGATCCATATGAATGTGTTAATTTGGATACAATATTGTCACTCTCAGATCCTGCAGAGATCGGGGAAACTAAAGACAATGGTTAAAAAATATCCTTATATTCATCTCCAGGAAAATGATGGAAGGGGAAAGGAAATATTCCTGGAAAACATTATTCCACATTGTGTTAAACCTCCACCAGAGAAGGAAATCCAGGTCAGGATCATGCTGTAGATTTCACTCTACAATTCTGTTCAATCCAAGATTTGATTAACTTTCAACTTCAGAGCAACATATGAAGCAGTCAAATGGAAAAGTAGGTCCCACCACTTTTATAGACTTTCCCTGTCTGTGTTTAGGTTGGGGAGGGAAGTATCTTAAGTGGGAATGGCTTAGCACTCTGAATGGAATCTAAGTGGGACCACTATAAGGACCTGGTCCTCCCTTGATCATGATCAACCAGAAAAAATCTTTCCTTAATAGTCTTTCTTGACTTGTCACTCTCCCTCAAATGTGTTGGAATTTCAATCTCCATCATTCCCTGCAAACATATAGGCGGCTAGATATAAAATACAGTTGGAAGGCAACAATTTATGGAAAGCTATCTAGCAAAATATGAACCAGAAAAGAGAGTGGTAGTACTGAGCAAAATATTTAGTGAAAGAAAAGCCATTATTCCCAGACTATCTTATGCTTTCAAATGACCCAAGGTTAAAAAAAAATCCACTTTGTTCTTCCCATCCATTAAAAAAATCCTGTTAGGGAGTACAAAATATGAAGACCTTCTTGCTACTGTGCTGCAGATGTGGTTCTCTCCAGATGCTCTGGACTTTAAATTTTGAAGGGTGGCTAATGCCCAGAGCTGGAAAATTTAGGCTAAGGCATTCTGTTGCTTGCACACCCTCATGGCTATGAAGATGAGGAGGATCATCTTTTCTCACTATGGTGAATTAGTGGAACAACTGCAGTAGATGGCAGGTTATTCAAGATCCTTAAGCAAGCAACTTTTATGTAGCAGAATTGTTGTTGTTAAAAAGTAACAATCAGAGCTATGGTGCTGAGTTTCCTTCTACCTCCTTGCAAGCCACATTTTGTACCTCAGAACATATTTTGTACTACACCAGAGAGCTAGAACCAATGTATATAGGGAAATTTTTCTAACTTGGTGGCACCATAGAACAAGTTTAAATTCCTTTGCCTCTGCATCCTTATAGTTATTGGGATAATTCTCACAACTCTGTCTCATCTAGATTTCCCATCCTCTCCACATAGCAAAAAGCACTTAGAAGATGGAAGGAAAATAAGAACTAAGTCTTTGTGCATCCCACTCTCCAAATACACCAGACTGACACTGTTGCCTTTCTTCTTGGCTAGGTGTATAATTAATAAGTTCAACCCACACTGTGACTTGGAGATAAGATTTTTTGTTTTGGGAAGAACAGAGCCATGGAGACAAGACTGGTCATATTCTATTTATAGTCACTCAACTCCTGCAATTCAGAACACTCCAACAATTTTCTATTTACAGAAATGATTGAATATTTAATAAGTCAACCCAAGTTAAAGGAGATGAATGAATGGATTTTCCCAATTTTTCATGTAAATAACTCTATTAAAAAAAAAAAAGGTGTGTGTGGGGGGAGGAAACAGCAGAAACTGGCCTTCATCAAATGAGGTGCAAGCAAGGTGATAATTTTATTACAGTAGAATGACTGTAAACCCAGACCTCTATACCTCTTTAACATGAGTTTTGTAGAGCAGGTCTTCTTGGAATAATGTAACTGCTAGGAATCCAATCCCTCCCAACCCATTATTATAATCAGATAAGACACACAAATTAGATTTATATTCTCATTTATTAGATAATGTAAAAAATGGTAAAATCAAAGGTATTTTTTAAAAAGGGCAAAACTGAAACACAAGCAGATATTTTAAAAGTGTATAGCTATCTAAAAAGATATGTTACAGTTAAACAAGCTCAACAGTTTTATTGCACACAAACTTGTAATGTTATATAGAAAGTAAAAAGTCCATTTCTGTTTGATCAAACATATATCACAGTTCCATTAAATAAAACCAAGAAAAAAAGATCATTGTATAGCCAAAGAAGCAAGCATTTTCTTTTCTTCTTCAATCCAGTTGATTGCCAAGTCTGCAATTATAGTTGAGTTGTTCTTTCTAGACTTTTAGCTGCATCTTTTAACTTTCCCACTAAATCCTAAAATATAGAATAAGAGCTTGAGAAAAATATTTTGCTGTAAATAACTAATTCTATGCAATATTAGAAGTTTCCAATGATTTAAGAATGCATTTTTTGCCATTGATATTTTTAAGAAA